CAAATGGAAGTTTTACAAATACAAATAACGATTTTAAGAATATAAATAAAGGTTTTATGAATACAAATATGTAATTCATAAATATAAATTTAAATTCGCGCACATAGATATTTTTAATGAATATTGCAACACTTAGCCTTCCATATCGAAACAAAGGAAACCGTTTGATCCAAGCGACCTGTGTTCTTGAAAATCGGAATCTTATCGCCCTTGCGGTTCTGAGCGAAAAAAACGTCGAGGCCAAAAACGACAGATTTTCGCCCAATCTTCAATGATTTTTTGATAATATCATTACTTCAATCCAGCGGTTAGATAGGTTATTTATTACAGACTCCCGGGAACCGAAATTGGCGATGAAAATCACTCGAAAAATCGGCGATAATAGCCAAGGGGGCGAGGGACTGATTTTCAAAAACATATGTTATAGATAGGGTAAGATAGGTTATTTATTACAGACTCCCGGGAACCGAAATTGGCGATGAAAATCACTCGAAAAATCGGCGATAATAGCCAAGGGGGCGAGGGACTGATTTTCAAAAACATATGTTATAGATAGGGTATATAATTATGATTTTAATCATTTTTTGTCCTGGTCACAACAGAAAACAAATATTTCTATAAAAAATGCAACGCTCGTAAAAAGGTAAATATAATGTTTTGATTTCGAAAGGTGAAAACGAAGGCCAATGTAAATTGCATGATATGTTAATAGATTCGTTGTTTGTTTTTATTTAAAGCTTACGAAAACTCGTTAAATTTGATACCTGTATATTAGTTCATAAATTTTGCCCTAGATTTTCAACAACAAAAAACGCACACAAAAAGAAACTTCCGCGGGAAAATAGCGCACCACTTGTGCATATATTCATGATTTCGTAGGTGGCGCTATTCTAATCTAATAATCGCGTCATATAACTGTCAAAGCAAACGGCTGCGTTCTGGCTTATCAAATAAGAGGTGCAACTTATAAACATGCTTGTTGACATTGGTAAATAGTATAAATGATTTGCCACACACCCCGCTGGCTAAAGTCAAAGTTTGACTGACCGTTAACATAAATTTAAAGCGCGGTGGTCGTCGCGCAGCGCGTGTTCGAATTTCATGTAAACAAACAATGTATTTTACAGGCGTTGTATACGTCGCTACGAGTCCCATATTGAACATGACGCGGCATGATGACTGTCGCCCTTTAAGTATATCAGGAGGCATGTGACCCCTCCGATGCTGACAAACGGTGTATATTAACTTCGGTATACACGATAAACGTCATCCCAGTGACAAGAAGGATCTTTAAAACACCGGAATATGACCTTCGGTTGAACAGTGGGAACTGCCGATGCTCTAGACATGTGGTGCTTGCCTATCCTGATATGTGATGAACTGATAAGAACGGTGTCCACGTGTTATAACAGACAAGGTTGGTGCCGGTCAAAGGTAGAAACGCTGTGTTACTTGTAATATATATATTAACTCTATATATCGACCACCATGTCGTGACGCCCGGTGCCGTCGGTCCCCGGAAATATAATAATATATACCGGCTTTGTTTTTTTAAATGTGCCATGTATGTCAACAACTATTTATGAAGGGTAATTAACTTGTGTTTAATGCGTTTATGTGAAATGAATGCCAGCTTAGATTTGAATGTATTTTATTTTAGAATGAAATTGGTAATCACCGTGTTACTTGTATCCGTCGTCATCCCTTCTGGTGGAGACCACGTGTCTGGTGATTCAAAGGATGGGCTTGTTAAGGATCATGTCACAGACTTCGATATTTTACTTGGAAATGAGGTATTTATGCAATGTTTACTATCTTCTGCAATATACAATAACCCTTTTCCAATAACTAGTGCACTTACTAGCGCACCTATAAATGATTATCGTGTGATCAAATAAACACCTTTTTCAAGAGTTCCCTGTGTTTGTGCGCCCTCTGTGACAAAGTGTGCTACGCCTTTGTTTTCAGACGTCCGGGGTTTTGAGCAAGACAGATATCAAGAAGAGACTCGAAATACTTTTTAGAAAGATCGATGTAAACCAAGACAAACGAGCTACAGTAGGTAAGATAATTAAATAAATAGTCTGCACTAATCTATTTACTTTCAACCGTAGTAGTCTGGAAACCTTGCCTTGATTTACTATGTAAATTTATTCCAACGTCACGAAAAACTAATATGGCGGTCGCATTTTCGACTCTATGGTAACTGGCAGTTGACACAGTGCGTGTGGAGAACATAGCACTGTCAATCATTGAAAAATTAGCATATTCAGATTAGCATTGTACTATACTCATCCAACGTCCTTGTCGTTGATTGACAGACGAGTTGAAGGATTGGATTTACATTACAATAATGGCGACGTTTTGGGAACATACGAAACATCTGTTCAAAGAAAAGCTGATACTGATAGCGATGGTATGATTTCATGGAATGAAGTTTTAATTTTTAATTTCGGTGTAGCAGAAGATACAAATGATAAGCAATACAAAGACAACACTCAAGTAAGTCAAAATATATTGCAATCACGTGGTTATATATTAATATAATAATAATTAAGTTTGTTAAATATTACTATTAAAACGCGCATAAATTTAACCTCCTTGAGTGAATTCCAGTTTCATACTGTCATTATTTTAATAGTATTTAATCTCACGGTCTAGATGTTTTGAGCATATTCTTTTGTTTTTGTTTTAAATTCACTGATTTGCCGTTTTCACAAAACTATTTCGTGAAATGGACTAATTCTTTAAAGTTTGCATATCAACAATTGTACCCCCCCCCCCAGTGATACTTGTAACACAATCTACTTGATGAAAATACAAAATTTTGTATAAGTTGTATTTTTTTTTTTTGATTCAGGAGATCGAACAAGACCAACTTCGTTTTGATTTAGCAGACGACAACAATGACGGTTTACTGACCGTAGAGGAATGTTTTGTTTTTCTTCATCCCGAATTATATAACCATATGAAGGTATTTATTTTTTTATATACAACTCTCATATATATATATATATATATATATATATATATATATATATATATATATATATATATATATATATATATATATATATATATTAAAAAAGGGTTATCAAAAAATGTATGTTCAATCAATATACACTCACAAGTGCAGCCTCATAAGCTCGAATATTTTAATACTAAAATGCATCAAATTTTGTTAAATAGTATGTGCAGGTTTAGGTAACTTACGACAATTGTGTAATGTTTATGTGGAAATGTAGGTAATTCTACCCAATATCTACCCTAGCCTTTTTTACCACAGACACCGTTGAAAATGGCTTAATAGTCTTCATTTGTATGGGTTCGTTTTGTGACCATATTTTTTTTATCAGTAAAGCCATATGGTAAAAGTCAGAGAAATCTGTAGATAAGTTTTAGTAGTATCCAAATATAACATATTTGAAATTGATTCACTCAATACGGTGAAATGTACAACAATACATTATTCTTCATCGATAAGATAAGATTGACACACATAAAAACATTGACAAATTTAGTAGTGTCTTTTTCAGACTGTATAAACGCACACCTGTGTTGACCAAATCACTACATCTCAACTAAACATCATGGGAGTTGAATGCTGTGATTGTGGGAGTTAAATTATTGTCGATGCTTTATTTAGGATCTAATCACATGGAAGTTTTTCGCTGAGTATGACAAGGACAAAGACGGTAGCATTTCATTAGTGGAGTACATTGGCAAGAAGTCACGTCACGGTAATTAAAACTAAAATACACAATCGTAATCGCAACAAGTTATTGTAAATGACATAAATAAGTTAGAAGATGTGTATCACTGAGATAAAGCTTTGTTTAAAGATTTTATATTGTAAGACACTTTGATTATTTGCAGCCATGGCATATTGCATTTGGATAAAATAAATTAATACAAGTTTAAACGTTTTATATTAAATCTAATTGAGAATAAAAACAAACAAAAATGACTCCTGGATAGAAGCAAAACGTGCGCCTGCAACCCATCATGTACATTTTATGCAGTTCTATTCTTAAGTTTGATTAAAATGGGCCGAGTTATCTACGAAATTAGGATTTGGGCCTTTTTAACGAGACTGGAAAAATCGATGGAAAAGAAATGGGTTTTGTTGATCGTATTTGCCTCTTTAAACGAAAACAAATTAATGGAAATTAGTAATGATGACGAAGGGCTACAAATGCTTAGTCGATTCAGTGATGAAAATTGAAAATGCCCGAAAATTTCCTGGTGCCATTAAATTACCACTTTGGTATATGTGTTGTCTTACAACTTTACGTTTCAGAAGAAAAATGGGTCAGCAAAGCTAACAAAGCCAAGAAGGCATTTGAGATAATTGACAGCAACAAAAATGGGAAACTGGAAGTACCTGAAGCATTGGCGGTCTTGTTGCCGAACTATCATCGTGACGCACAGGATGAGGTAAATATACGGACTGTGTAAGTGTGGGGCATAAGATATATTGTCAGCTATATTTTGCTGGAAGCTTCGAACTTGAAGTCAATTTGGCCACGAAAACGTCAGTAGATACAGCTTTCCAAGTTAGTATGTTAGAATAATAGCAAGCAAATATAAGCTATTACTATACATCTGGCACCGTAACGCCATAAGTTACAGGGTGCCTTAATTTTGCGGTATTTTACGGGGTATTTTCATCCTACCACATACGTAAATGCGAATATTACGCGCGTAAGCGTCCTCTAATAATAAAATCAAACATGGCTGCCACCAGGGTTTGACCAGAGATCACACAAAGAAATTCGCTGATTCTGTTCTAAACTTGGATTTCGGCATGATATATCATTGGGAGGGAAAGATGTATAATAATAAGGTTATTACGAGGATACCGCAAAGTATGCATTCAGACAGTACACCGTCGCATCGACCTCTGCGCGTCGGTCGAAACTCCCACTGTACTGTCTTCGTGCATACTTTTCGATATCCTCGTAATAACCTCATATTATATTGATGAATAAATATGTGTTTGTTACCAAAACCGTGTGTTCAATCATAGCAACCAAAATACACCAACTAAAACATACAGACAGAATATCAAACAAAATCAAGAAGTAAAAACAAAAATGAACACTCATCGACAATATGAATAATTTGATTTCAAATTAAGCATAAAATAACAAACCCTTACATGTCCGCGTGGGACGAAATACTATAATTAAATAAATCTGCTATGTTGTTTTTTTATTTCACAGGCCAGTAAAATAATGAAAAACGTTGACGAAAATGGTGATGGCCAACTGAGTTTGAAGGAAGTCAAAAAACACTACAAGGTGTTCACAGAGAATGAACATGTTGATTTCACTTCTCAGTTACGGAGAATCAGAGATGAACTTTGACAATTTTGCAATGGTTTTCAATAAACACAGGTTATCACTAATATACACAAATTGTATCAATTTGTAATTTATTGCCTCCAAGGAAAAATGTTTTTTAATAAGATTTTCAAAACTATACATACATTTTCCGTAGAAATAGTAAGCAGTGTCGGTGGTTGAAGATAAGTGTTTCGTAGGAAAATCGAGGCATAGTAAGCACTATCTAGTGTCAGTGATATTAGATAGGTGTTTCGTAGAGAGAGGCATAGTAAGTACCATCTATCAGTGATTTTAGGTAAGTGTTTTGTAGGGAGGGACACAGTAAATACTGTCAGTGAGTGATTGAAGATGAAGTGTTGTATAAGGAAGGGGTATAGGAAACGCCATCTACTGTCAGTGGTTGAAGGTGTAATAATGAGAACACAAAAAACAAAGTATTTTATAAGATAAATCTGTATTATGAGTGCGACATGTACTAGTATGTCATTGTTGGTCAATCGGGTGTTTTTTTTTCATTTGGGTTGCATATCCAGCATGGTTACCAGTCACTATGGAATAGATAAGCTGAATATATATTTTTTGTTGTGAATGTCACGGCAAGTGGTAAATCAATTATATTCAAATACCAGTCAATATTTTATTTCGTATTATCATAGTGGTATCATCATTATGAAAAGTCCTTTATCACAACATACATGAAATGTTGCCAATTATATTGGGGAGCATTCTATAAAAATTAAATGTATAGCCAAGGATACGTCTTAAGTCGTGTTTGGAAGCCCTGAAATGATAACTAGCGCAAGTCAACACCAAGGCAAAACGGTGGCTATTATTGTGGATGAGACACATGTCGTAACTTTGTGCACGTGGTGGGTACACATAATGACATTTCATGTAGATAACTGGGTCATATTTTTATTCATTGCAGAGAAAATAAATGCAACTCAAAATTAGTATATACTGTGATGTTTATATTTGTAACTGATTCTGAGCCTTCCACTACAGTTAATCCTCGCTGTTTCAATGATGGTTTTCACTTCTAGTTCTGACAGGGATAGTATTAACTAACATGGATAAAAACAACTTCACGTTGTAGAAATTAAAGAATATATTATTTTTTGCCTATCTACATAAGACTGTACTGTACAACAATTCATTTGTTATTTATTACGAAGCTGAAAGGAAGTAGTAGTTAGGTCAATATGCATCACAAAAAACACTAAAAGCAATAAAACAAACAATAAGTATGAATAAAAGAAGATATAAGTTTTTACAGTAATATTTCAATTTTGATCTGCACCAAGGCTGCTGGAATTGGAGTTCAATTAAACAATGTACACAATATCATTAACTGTGGTCTACCAACATAATTGGATATATTTTCAAGGGAGATGGCAAGCAGTGTCAACATATTTTATATAATAATTAATATTTCTATGATAAAATGCAGTTCAGGAAATATACCTGGATATGATGTACAATCGCAGAAAGGTTCCGATTGCAAGTGACCACAATGACAACAACACTGTCAAGATTAATTCTAAATGTTCAATAGACTGACGGACAGGTGGGTGGGTGGGGTAAGGTAAGTATGACTACACCATGTAAAGCTAGATTATGGCTTCAGTTAAGCTGATCAAATTTATTATGTCAAGCTATATTTACCTTAAACCCAATAGATACTGACTGAAACTCTTGGCAAAGTACAGAAGCACACCAAGGAGAAGGGTAATCTGGAGTTTCGATTCAACCATAAAATAGATATCTTTATCAAACCCAGAGATAATGTCGGTGGTCACCAAGTGCAGTCATGCACACTATTTGTGTTTAATTTGAGCTCGTTTTGGGATCTAATTTCGGTTTGACCATGCAACCTCTCTATTTGGTGCATTGTTGAAATAAACAAGCGTCTGTAGTTGCAAAATGTGACTGCATCATTAACTACTTTCTTGATTCAAACTCTCCCTTAGATGAATTTTCCAGCATTGACAGACATCGCATGGCTTCGCAGAACAACACTGTCTACAAATTGGCAAACTTGTACTTGGAGAAAGGTGTTCATATTTTGCATTGTATTTCTCCAAACGTATTCAAATATTCGTCAATTATCTCCTATCGCCACATGTTCTGTTGTGTAGGTATGATGCTTGGGTGTTCATTCTACGAAAGAATTCCAATTTTCTACTGAGCAACTACAGGCAGAAGTCCATAGCTTGGTAGCTTAAAATTCGTTAACAGCTACTTGGGCATAAATAAACAATGTCTGAACACCAAATTCACGTCCATTTGGGCTAAAACTAACAAAGGCCAACTTACAGAATTTACAATCAAAATACGATTCTTTCTGAAATTTGTTTTTATTTTCATGACTTGCTTAACAAGATATTTGTATTAACACTTTAAAATAATATAAGTTCTTCCATGATATGTAAAACAAATAAAACTGCTTTCAAATAAACTAAAACACTCACGGTACATGTATAGAAAGTTTACAATACACTTTCCATTAAAAAAACACCACATTAGTTCAGCCCAAATGTTCTCCTTAATCTTTATGTAATCTCCCAAACCATGTACCAAATGATTGAGTCTACTGTTGGCAGGTTAAGACTACTTTGAACGAAAAACTACCAATCTCTGATTGTTCACCAATACAACATGTGCTCGTACATTTTCTAATTCGTACATATAACCCAGAGATTCAAATGGTCGCTGGAGAGCCACAAGATTTGTTTTTTTTCTCTTCAAATAGTGCTCCATTCTATCACATCATGTCCACTGTTTCAAAAACCGTGGTTAAATTAGCCAGGGGAAAGTAAATACAATGACAATATTCAATAGAACACTACTCAAGGGGCAAATGCAAAAACAAGTCATGTGACTATCTCACTCTCAATGAGACCTCAGCGGCCCATTTTCACCCAAGATGCACATATCCACCTATTCCAATACACAGCTCATCAAGGTAAATTAACAGCATTTTTTTTATCAGCATTATTTAAAAAAAAAATAGATCTAAAAATTCTGGAAAAAAATATTAAATGCAAATTGGTACACAAGTTGTATTCTTGACCCAAGTGTGTGCTCAAACTACAGTTGTATCTTCCATCTCAAGTATATTTTTCATCAGTGTTGACAACTAGGAAATTGAGATTTCATCAAAAAATATACATTTGTTTCCCATTTAATTTATCTTATTGCCAATGTTAAGTTCTGTTGCCAGAAAGTAGTCCTGTAACCCTTTGAACGACAAAGGCATTTTTTTTACCATTAAGAAAATAATTCCATATCTTTTTGAAAAAAAATACCAAACCTAAAACATAACCCAAAGACAAGAGTAGAAAGACAATAGAGAAGACATTAGCAAGATTATGCAAAGATCTTGCTTTTCCATTCTCTAATGTTATCGCCACCAGCATTCCTCCGACCATGAAAACCACAAATTTAGAACAGTGGACAGAATGGGGAATGCATGGTGTTCTCTCTCAAGATCTTAGTTACTGTGGAATACTTTATTTTCGCTGAAAAGACTTTTTGGGCATTCTTTATGGAATTTATTTTCACTGATTTTTGATGAGTTGAATGTGAAATATAGGAAAAAAAGTATATTCGCTGGATTTTATTTTCACTGAATCATCCCTTCAGCGAAAATAAATTCCAAACGAAAATAAAGTATTCTACAGTATTTAAAAATAAGGTCCATTGAACATTATTGTTTCAAAAGTACCTGATAAATTTAAAAGGGAATGCATACAAGTTTGCAAAAAAATAATTAAAGCAGGAAAATGGTCGATCTTTGAAAGAAGACATAATTTGATACAAGCTACTCTCTGATTGGTCAGACTGTTAGGTGTTAGAGTTGGGTAGCCAATCAGACACAACCTTGTAAGTAAACTGACCAATTAGCATATAGGATGGTTACAATACAATACAATAATAAAGGTCATCAGGTCAACTTGATTGCCAGATCTTAAAATGAAGTTTAATATCCAAGGTTCACTGAATCTGTAACAAAACAGTTAAATCATACAGTGCTGAACTAAAAACCCATAAAGTTGATTTAGGAACCCTGGGCTGCAGATTGTACTGCAGCCACCACCACAAACCCATACATGATGACAACAGCATCACTCAACTCACCCATCTGTGATTACCACCACTTCATTGAACCCACCTGTTGCAAAACAAATACATAACCACCCATACCTGCTTGAAAAAAACATGATAAAGCATCAAATTAAATCTTACTGGGGGTTTCACTATTTTGATAACTACAATGTTTTACATCATGAATTAGCCACTTAAAAACAATGATTTCTGATTTGACATTCACTTTGATTTATAACAGTGCAAATCCACTGAGGTTTGGCAAAGGTTCCTAATTATATCATTTATCTGGGTCAATAGTATTCACTTGATTTTCATTGGTAAATGAAAGCATTTGTATTATTTTTGGAAACCCAAATTGTTTTTCAACTATATTTTTGGAAAAAATGTTCCGCTGCAAGTTGGAGAATTTTTTCCCAAAACTGACATAAATTGTACTGTTAGAACAAATCACCTTTCAATTTTTGGTAACTTCAGCCAAAAAATCTGAAAGTTACTGCTTCAAAAGCTGCCCTATTGCAATGTTATTTGTTTGTCTCTACTACAATAAATCCAAACATGCATTGCTGTTTGTAAAGTTCAAAGTTCGCTTGGACACATGGCAACACAAGTAAAATAGTTGTCCTATAAAAAAAAAAGAAGCCAGGTAACGACTATACAGGAAATGAACTCAAGAATCCAGTGTAGATCTCAGACTGGTCTTAATGAAAAATGTTTAAGATCTAATATTGATTTTGTAATATATCCCATCTATGATTGTTGAATAGAGAATCCTGCGTGCAATTCATAGACTGGACCCCCTAAGAAGCATGAAACTCAATCACAAGCAAATCCATGGAAGTGTTTGATGTTTAGTTATTGGCAAATAACTTTGGATGCAGATACCTTGCGAATACCAGAACTCTTTTATAACAGTTACACATATTACTTGACACAAAACTAAATTTTTCCTACAATATTTGCATGTACTCTTGGGGCTGTTTTAAATCATGAATAGACCATTTTGCGTTCACTGCGAGAATCACGCATTATGCGTGAAATCGAACGTAAAAACAGGACAAACAAAGGTCATAGCGTCGTAGTCGCGAATCTCACGCGAAAGTATTTTGGGGGACATTTCCATGTCAATCATGTGCTGTACACATTTGATGATAGACAATTTCGATTAAAAGAGGATATTCGAATGCAATATTCCTCTGTCAAAGATTGGCCGGTCGATGTGAGCTACGAAATAAAGAAATTCGAGTTCAAAATCAAATCTTTCGATTTTTGCGGCAGACGTTTGACGCACGTCTTTCATGCATCTCGCGAGATCTCGCAGTTGTACAGAAAATCACCTATTGACATCCACCTAGTTGATGTGGTGCATCTAAATTTACAGAGAACTGCATGTCTGAATATGAAACTGCACAATTGAATCAAAAAACATTTGTTTTCCTTGAAAATAAACAATTTTTGCATATAGTGGATGAAAACAAAAGTATTCAAATTAACAATGCATGTTTGAGGGCGCTATCAATTATCACCCACCATTGCACAAGATGAACTCTTAACTATGTATGGATTAACTCATAATTAGGAACTGTACATTGTTTACGTGGCATTCCTATGGTTATGCAATTATAACTTCACAATAAAAAAAACCTCTGTGATGGCACTCATAGATGGAGAAAAACAGATTCTTGAGTGTCTTCCAGATTAGTGGAGATCTGTCCAAGTCATCACTGGTGTGTGGAAATAAATCTGGGTGACATTTTTTAAAGATTACAGGACATTACAAACATAGAACTACAGGTAACCTTGGAATGCAACGGATCAAACACAAATATATGCATTACTATGCACTTAGAGCTCTTCTAATATTTGTTGCAAATAAAAATAATTTCTGAAATACAGCTGGATGCATACATGCTGTAACTTCACCAAATGCTGATATTCTGGTCTCCTGGCTGATCAGTCTATCAAGTCGTATACCTTAAATCCTCAAAAGAATGCACCTTACTTTCCTATAGTCTCTGCATTTCGGTATTTATATATAAATGCATACAACTAACGAGACACAATGCAAATTCCATTCAAAGTCAATGCTTGTGATATGATAACAAAATCTGAAGAGAGGTATCCATTTTTACAAATACTCAAAGCAAATCCGTGTAAAAAATAATTGGTGTTTGTCGCAAAGTTTTGACTTAAACAGGCAATATCCATTTTTGTTTTAATTTCACAACTGAATCTTTCCATGCATTTATTCCATGCAAACGCATGGGACTGGTGCAGAATGGTATCTCAATCACTTATAATGTATCACCATACATAGATATCAAAGATGCATCTTACAAATTATTGGTAAATTAAATATACATACATTCCTTGTATTTTAAAAACAAAACAAAACAAAAACATTGTGCATAAGATAGAGCTCAGTCTGGTCGAGACTCAGTACTGTTCATTTTTTTTAAAAAATCTTCCAAGGAAGCCTACACACAGTTCAAGTTACAACCTTTAAACTTTAACCTTGCATCACGTGACATAAATGCTCCAATGACCTGTCAGGCATTACAGGACCTCAACGACACAACACAAGTTTTATAATATACATCCATTTTATGTTTATATACACTCCCTCCTACCAACTGTTTGTATTATTTACAAAGTTTATGTTTCTATTTACAAATACTGATTACGTATCAGTTATTCTTAAAACACCTCATAGTCACCGCCAGATTTGGGTTTCTCTTTGCCACTCAAAAATGCTTCAAAGTCATCCCATTGTTTTTCCTCCTCAGTTTTTTTTGCTTTTTTCTTTTTCTTTTTTTCCTTGTCATCATCTAATTCCACCTTGTCTTTCTGTTTTTCCTTGTCCTTATCTTTGTGTTTTTTGTGTTTGTGTTTTTTGCGGCTTTTTTCGCCGTCCTGTAAAATAAAGGCAGTTACATTTGTTTATTGAGAGGATTTTTCCCGAGAGTTTTATTAACATTATATCATGCATATAAAGTAGTATAATGGATTCATATTGTGCATATAAAGTGGTATAATGCATTTATATCATGCATATGAAGTAGTATCATGTTTATATCATGCATGTAAATTTATTCATAAAATGCATATAAAGTAGTATTAATGTAGAGTAGTATAATATGAGGTTATAACGAGGATACTGCAAAGTATGCACAAAGACGCGCAGCGGAGGTCGATGCAACCGCATACTGTCTGAGTGCATACTTTCCTGTATCCTCGTAATAACTTTATTATTATACATCTTTTCCTCTCAGGAATACATCATGGGAATGCCGAAATCGAAAACATTTAGAACAGATTTAGCAAACTTCTTTGTGTGTGGTCCTGTCAAACCCTGGGGGCAGCCAGGTTTGTTTTTATTATTAGAGGACGTTTACGCACATAATTGTTCCATATTTGGAATTCACGTTTCTTGATATGGTAGGATGAAAATACCCACTGCAATACCACAAAGTTACGGCATGCTGTAACTTATGGCGTTACGGTGACAGATGCATGTAGAGCGATATAATGTATTTATGAAATGCAAATAAAGTAGTATGTATTTATGTAGAGTAGTATAATGTATTTATATCATGCATGTAAAGTAGTATAATTGATTCATAATATGCAAGCATTGGTATATACCTTATCTCGGTCTTTTTCTTTATGTTTCTTCTTCTTTGTTGAACTTTTCTTTTCTTCTTCACTACTGGCATCCTTTGTGGATGCAACTGATGAGGTTGCTATGGTGTAAAAACAAACAAATTAGAATAAGCAATTAAGATAATCCTATTAGTTGGACCTTGACTTTTGCTATAAATTTCTTTTATTATTGTTTTGTAGCACTTCAAACCAACCACATGGCAGGAAATCGCTACTTTGAGATGCTATCAAATCCATCTTGATGTGTCTTTTTAGTTTTAGTCAAATTAAGCATACCTTTTGAGTCTTTGTGTTTTGTTGCCAGTTTTTGACTCCCGTGTGCGAAGCACAAAAGGGAGTCTTTGCAGTTACCCTGTC